ACGGACGGACGCACGGACGATCATGCGATTCTACAAGCTGCATCTGACTATGTCAGATGAGCTAAAAACAAAGAAAGGATAGAGAAGGAGATATTAATACTAATAGGCAACCAAGTAATAAAAAATGCACCAAATATTCATACCTAGGGGATTTAATTAATGATATAGGAGGTTATAACGATATGATAAGAGTCCGAACTGAAAAATGTAGGTTCATGATGAGGGAAATATTATCATGGGCAGAAGAGCAAAAATGCCAAAATTATGGAACTCATACTATAGAAGCAGGAGAGAAATTATACGAATGCACAGTTTTACCTTCCTTCCTAAATAACAGTGAAACATGGACTAACTTAACTATGGAAGAAGTAAAAATAGCTGACTCTCGAACCATGGTACACCCGAATTTGTCACTGTTCACCCAGGTTTTCAGACATACAAGTCTTAAAGTGAAAAGTAAAAGGCTAAAAGTCTAAAAGTGAAAATCAATAATCTAAGTAAAACTCTAAAAGTGAGGAAACCACGAGCGAGGATTTTGACAGTGAAGTCATTCCAACCTCTGTCGTGCAGTGTGCTGTGTTTTGCTGAAATGTTCAATGAATGACGCACTCGTTCACTTCCGACAGCGAGTGAAAATGCCGAAAATTTTCCTCTTCGATGCGAAATGCATCGGCCGAGCATTTCATTATTTACGAAAAGTAAACAGACTGGCAAAAGACAGTAGGTACAGTAACTGGTCACGTCGGTGACGCCACATTCATGTCCATCAACGAAGAAGGCGGGGCTTATTCTGATTACGGGGATGCGAAAATTCAACAGAATGACGTAGCGCAGTGCGCTAAACAGCGTGTTATTTTCGTATTTGTGGCAAACTATATCGTAGGAAACCGTTCTAGCCTAGCAGAATGCCCTAGTTCTTGAGATCGGCGATTTGGTGATGCAATGGGGCCTACCTTTAAAAATATCAGAGAATAATAACAGAGGTGCGACGTAGGCTGTGATTGGAAGACACAAAGTGTCAATCCTCGGCGCGCCTCGGCATCATGGCCGCATCACGTCTAGGGGCACGATTGGCATTTACAGTGAAGCCAGCGCATATTACACCCCCGCCCCCACCCCACCCCCTGCCACCACCGACCCCCAAAGCTACACTATCAAGAGTCCATAATAGACGATTTTCTATTATGCACTCCTGACACTATGTATTACAGTGGCACCTGCATAGCTTTACCTATCTCTAGAACTATAGCCCTTCGCTCTGCCACCCACACCTGTCGCTGTGGACTATAGTTCTAGAGCTAAGCTTTAGCGCTCTACCGAGTGAATATATTTCATGCTCGCAGCACTGCATCGTTACATCCCTCCGGCCACACTCACTGCACGCCGCCGCCGCCGCTGCTGTTCCCGACGGCTGGAGAAGTGTCGTTTGCATTAGCTATCAATTCATAACCCTAAAACTAATTAATTCGTACTCACAAAAGCAGGGTTTTTCAGAGGTATTTTACGCTAATCGATGTGAGAGTATCAAGCCTTGGAGATTGCAGGCTCAACTGACACGTATTTATACACACTCCGTCACAATCCACGCACGCACGCACGCACGGACGGATGCACGCACGCAGGCACGCACTCACGCGCTCACGCACGCACGCACGCACGCACACACACACACACGGGCGCTCTTGCTCTCTCTCACACTCTCGCTCGCCCCTCCCCTCTCTCTCTCTCTTATGCTCTCTCTCTCTCCCCTTCTCTTTCGCTTTCTCTTTTGCTCTCCCTCTCTCCCCCCTTCTCTTTCGAGCTCTCTCTTGCTCTCTCGCCCCTTCTCTTTCGCTCTCTCTCTCTCTCTCTCTCTCTCTCTCTCTCTCGCTAAAATCGATTTAGCTGGCTACATAATCTCACCGCTGAAAACTCCAACGTACAATACGTGGTAATATTCTGCTAAAGATTATTCCGCATTATACCCGAGCCACTGTTCCAGTTAATAACTCCATTTAGACATGGCCTATAGGGCGCATAAATGCACGTGCACACACACACACACGTACGCGCGGGCGCATACACACACACACACACACACACACACACACACACGTACGCGCGGGCGCGCGCACACACACACACGCACACGCACACACACACGCACACGCACACACACGTACGCGCGGGCGCATACACACACACACACGCACGCACGCACGCGAGCGCGCATGCGCTAGCATACATGGGAAGGCACACACACGTGTCCACACACACAATGCAAACTTTTCTTAGCCAGTTAATGGAACTGATACTGAAAAGTATCTCTGTTTCTCTGGCAAATGATGGAATGTATCCTTGACCCTTATCTAACCATAACCCCAATCCCAGTAGCCTCACCTAGACCTAAATTCACCATTTAACTCTAACCCCAACCCTGAGTACCCAGCAGGTACACCTAACCGATACACCCACGAAAACAGAGACCCATCTTTTCGCGGCTCTGAGACGTTGTACGTGTGCACATACCTGTGCAGGATGCCTCTAGGCCGCCGAGATGCAGTAGCAGCAGCAGGAGCAGCTGCAGCAGCAGCAACGCCGCCGGGGAACGAAATCGGCCCATCTTTGCTAGATGCCTCCCTGCGCGCGTGTCAGCACGCGGTGTGTCAGCAGCCCGTGAGCCTCACCCGCCCATCACTGGCACCAGGGACCTGCAGTGGAGAAAAGAAAAGACGCACAAGGCTACACATCCCATCGAACAGACGACACAGAAGACGCGTATCACTTTCGCGGTGGGGGAGCGAGCAAGGGAGGTGTAAGGCCTCGGCGTTCGGGCAGGGCTTCACGAATGAATGAAGCTCGATCCAAGAGGATGAAGAAGCGCGCGGGGAATTCACGCGCAGGGGTGCGAATGACGTTGACGTTGTTCTGGCTGAGAATTGCGATCGAGAGACTCGTTGTCAGAAACAAAATTAGTCTCAACATTAGTCTTAACACTAACATTTTCTCGTAGACCGTCGACAGCACTTTGTTTCGTATTGTTATGAGGAAATCTGCTACGATTTTTCATTCAGGTAACTTCGCAGCGTTTCTGTCGATGGTCCAAGACAAAAAGTGAACGTTAAGACTAATGTTAAGACTAATTTTGTTTCTGACAACGGGCCCCAATATCGCAATCCTCACCCGGAACTACTGAAAACCGTGCCACGAGCAATAACAGGAAACACGCAGTGAACAACAAACACGGTGAGTGTGAACATTGAACATACTGTGTGCGACGGTGCAGCGAGCACGACAAATGATGAACAACCAGTGCAGTGAGTATACAAAAAACGACCACTACAATCAATAAAAACACCGGATCGGTCAGCGTGAGGCACTCAGTGAACGTAGGCATGCAGCAGGGAACAACTTTAAAAGCAGCCAGCAGGGAACAACATACGCATGCACTATGGAACAACGCAGGCATGCAGCAGGGAACAACCTAGGTACGCAGCAGGGAACAACTTAAGCAGCCAGCAGGGAACAACCTAGGTACGCAGCAGGGAACAACTTAAGCAGCCAGCAGGGAACAACCTAGGTACGCGACGCAGCGCAGGGAAAACCATAGATACGCAGGCAGGAAACGAACTAAGCAGCGCAGCAGATGAACAGATCACCATAGGTATGCAGCAGTGAACAACTATAAGGAGCCAGCAGGGAAAGCAAACCTAGTGTACGACAGCAGGGAACAAATAGGTATGCAGCAGCGAAAGAACGCTAACGGGTACGCAAGCAGCCGGAACAAGGCTAGATCACCGGCAGGCAGGAAACAACTTAAGCAGCCAGCCAGAGAACAACCTAGGTATGCAGCAGTGAACAACTTAAGCAGCCAGCAGGGAAACCTAGGTACGCAGCAGAGAACAACCTAGTACGTAGCAGGGGAACAGCATACACACACTAGGGAACAACATAGGTACGCAGCGGGAACAACTTGAGCAGCTAGCAGGGAACAACCTAGGTACGCAGCAAGTGAAAACAACCTAGGCAGCACACCCAGGGGAACAACCACGCTAGGTACGGACAGCAAGAACAACGTAGGTACGCAGCAGGGAACGACGTAGGCACACAGCAGGGAACAACTAGGTACGCAGCAGAAACAACCTAGGCACACACCAGGAACAACCTAGGTACGCAGCAGGGAACAACGTAGGTACGCAGCAGGGAACGACGTAGGCACGCAGCAGGGAACAACTTAAGTAGCCAGCAGGGAACAACCTAGGTACGCTGCCAGCAGGGAACAACCTATGTACGCAGTAGGGAACAACCTAGGTACGCAGCAGGGAACAACCTAGGTACGCAGCAGGAAGACGTAGGGCAATCAGCAGCGGAACGACTGTAAGCAGCCGAGCAGGGAACAACCTAGTAACCAGCGAGAACACTAGGTTACGAACCAGCAGGAACAACTTAAGCACGCAGCAGGGAACGACATAGGCACGCAGCAGGGAACAACGCAATCAGGCAGCAGCAGAGAATGTGCCACTAAAACCACTTGAGCATCCGCCGGTGAATACTCCATGCAGCGGTGAACATGCGTGTGGTATACCGTATACAGCTAACCCCCGCCGCCGATCGATGAGGCAAGGCGGCACACTACTACAACACCCAAGTCAGTGCTCGCATGCTATCCCTCGACTAGCTGTAGACTATAGCCTTCGCTCTGCCACGTACTTCTCGCCTGTGGCAGAGCGAAGGGCTATCTATCCCTCGACAACACTGCTGTCAACACTGCCGACAACTTGCACACAGAACGACAAGTGTTCTACCAGCTTGAAGTAATTAACAGACAGGTAGCACCGCCACTCTGCCGTAACAACTGCACAAATGCTACTAATTCACCTGCCCGCCTGGAATGATTGGCAGACATCTCTGGGCCAATCAGCGCAGCGAAAGACGCGTCTAAAAACACTGCTTAGTAATGAAGGACAGCAAAGTCGCGTACATCCGGCGTGCGCGTGAGAGAAACGTGCACAAACTCGTCTAGCGCGGCCCGACCTAGCAACGGAAATCCGGCCAGCGTGTCACAGTTAGAATACGTAAATATCAAGGGAGATAAGGGGATAGATATAGGTATTGACATATTACCTACTTTATCTTAGCTCCGGTATATAGAGTCAGGGCGAAATGTACCGAGTGCTATACCGCGTCAGCACGCCGGCTCGGGCTGAATCTCGCGGCGCAGGTTTCGTCGCACGCGCCCACAGTCGAGATAAGCGAGTCGCGAGATGCGGCCTGGTCGCATCGCACAAACGCCGCCCACCCACACCCCCCCCCGCCCCGCGCGCCCGCGCGCACACACGCCCCCCGCCCACCACAACAATGCGCACCGCCCGCGAATCCTCGCGCTCTCTCTTCGCGAGCCACCCCCCCAAAGCTAATACCGGCGGAGATCCCCCGGGCACGTCGCCGTCGCCACGAGCGGCCCTGTTACGCGACACGCGCGCAACAATCTCGTTCCGCCGCCGCACCGCACAGTGAGTCAATTCAGCCGCTCGCGAAGCCAGAAAAAAACCTAATCGAAACGGAGGTAGAATCTGCAATTAATTGCAGCAGACGCGTACACTGCCGCAGACACGGTTCTGACAAAGTGGTACGTAACACGCAACGGGCAGAGCCATTGTCAACAAGACGCTGTAATTGTCAAACAGTGACGTGACAGCATGTAAAACAAATATTCGGTGTAATTATGTTCATATCCATGGTAAACTGCTTCATGAATAAACACAGCGATGTTTTCTCGTGTGTTCCTAAAATTATCCAACTTGAAATCGTATATTTTGTAAACATCTACGAGTCACTGACGAGGATAAGCACTTTTCTAAATAGAGGAACATCTTTAGGAAGAAGGGGATGATTCTTTGCAATTTCAAGAAACATTGAAATTGGGGAACATGTCATACATGCTTATACCATATCAGCATCAACACCATCAGTAGCAGCAGCGACAGCAGCATCACCATCACCACTACCACCACCTCCAGTATCGCTGCCGCTGCCATCCTCATCAGCAGCAGCTGCAGTAGCATCCTCATCATCATCATCATCGCTGTCGTTGTCATCATCACAATCAGCAGCAGCAGCAGCTACTCAGTACAGCTACTACTGTACCTCAATGTCTACATTGAGCGATTGATCAACCACCCGTGTGTACAGGTAGAATGGCTAGCTAGCGCTCTCTCGTAGACGGCTCACAAATAGCCTCACACCGAACTATTAGATTGTTAAAATACACGAAGGGCAGTCTCCAGGCAGGCAGGACTAAGCCTCGCTGCATAAATCCGTCAATATTCCCATACCTGCGCATCGTCTGAACGTGCATGAGGATTGCATGTGCGTATGCAGATTTCAAGAAAAACGTGGATTTAAACATGTAAGACATAGCCAATGATAATGGTTCAACAGCAATAAATACATAAAATGTAGAACAATCAACGTAAAAAAGGCACTATAAGTTAAACTACTAAACGTAGCCAGAAATATTGAATAAGAAATACATAATCGAAATCGAGGTGAACCAGGAAACTACCAACTACATATCACGATTTTATCATCAATCATGATCAGGTATCGCACACTGTAGAAACAGTTCAAACAGCATAACTAATTTTTAAATTCATACATGTCAGTAAACATGAGTAACAGAGCTGTGAATCATTTCCTCAAAAAAAAGAGAGAGCGGATGTAGTGCAGTAACAGGTCTACGTAAAGATATAGCTCGTTTAGTCCATCAGGCAAGTGTCTGGGATATATTTACGTGCCACCCTATGGATGAAAAACTAGCCTACAAAAGTTGTTATTTTGATATTTAGTCAACAGAAGACTCAGAAATTTAAACAATTTTTGTTGTATTGTCTAAATTACATGTGTGCACTAGACAACACATAAAAAGCATGTGGAATGACAGGTAGCAGAAGGCCATTTTGAATTTTTTCGGGCAGACAAACGTTGTCAAGTCAGAGGTTTTATAGGGCAACCTGGCAAGTTGGGGGAAGGGGCAATGCAAAAATTACCTCCAACGAATCCATTTCATGTGGGACAAAAAGGAATATATGCCCAACCTGGAAATTCTTCTTCAGCAACTTCCTTTACTCGACAAAGATAGCTAGACCGGTTTTAGAAACTTTTCCTAACAGGTTAATGACATGTCTTGTGAAGAAAAATCCTAATATAATACCATGAAATTCGATGCACCTAAATGCCTTCTGTCCTATGAGGCATCTACAAATCCCTGCAAATATGTACTTTCAACACTGAGAATTTGCACAGAGTACGCACATACATGTGCAGTCTAAATACACAAACAAGAATGCAAACATCTGTGCAACATTGAAAAACAACACAGAAACACTTCCGTGGCCATTTATTCCACCCGAGGCAACAAGCAGGGAACATAGATACTACCCCAAGGTAGTATCTATGCAGGGAAAAAAGTCGGAGTGGATATCCTATCACCATGGTTACCATGCCAACGTGCAAGCGCTTGTTATTCTGCACTACATCATGTGAATGAGAACGCTTATTAAAGGGGACTAAGCATTGAATCAATGATCACCACTGTGGGTAAGAAATGGTTTCCAGTCGCACTTCAATCTACGACAAGCAGAAAAGGTCGTCAGCTTTCTCCAAACAAAATCTCCATTGAAAAGCACTACACATCAGCTTCAGCTAACCAGATAGGCCTAATATACATATAAACAGATAGATGAATAAATATATACATCTATATAACATGATAAGTAAGATATCATTGCAGGTCATATATTACCCTGTCTTTTATCGTGATGCATACATTTTATGATAAGCATGATAAAGTTAACGGTTTGACTGCTGATCCAATGTGTTTAATCTGCTGTGTCTTGTGTTTCTCGGATACCGCACACCATGTAACTACGGGGTTACTAGCAAATAAGCAAATCAACTATCCACATTTGTGAACGTGAGCCTGCAGTATGGAACAGCTGCCAGTAACATAGCTCTAGCAACTTTACTTTGCAGCTTACAGGATGCATTTATTTCTCAGAAAATGTCTCCAAAAACCACATTGATTCCTATGAGCTGAAGGTCAGTGTAGATGACATTATTAAGCCGAAGATGCTTAAGCTACAGTACATCTACGAGTATATTATACACCTCACAGAATAGCATACAATATATACTTAGTTACACTGATAGGGTCTATGTCCCCCAGGGTACTGCCGGAACGTACCCTGGGTACGGTCTGGTATACCTGAACGTACCCTGGCACTATCTAATATGCAGGACCGTACCTCGCCTATTCCACTAACGAGTCTAGGGAGTCGCCTACGCCTACTCCCCAACCCTAACCCTAACCATATCAAATAGCTACCAGGGTACGTTCCGGCAGTACCCTGGGGGACATAGACCCTATGAGCCTTAGTTACTAACAATGCTGATAGTGAGGCTGAGAGGGTCTATGTCCCCCAAGGTACTGCCGGAACGTACCCTGGGTACGGTCCGGTATACCGGAACGTACCCTGGTACTATATACTACTATCTAATATGCCGGACCGTACCTCGCCTACTCCACTAACGAGTCTAGGGAGTCGCCTACGCCTACTCCCTAAACCTAACCCTAACCATATCAAATAGTGACCAGGGTACGTTCCGGCAGTACCCTGGGGGACATAGACCCTATGAGCGATAGTGAGGCAGGATTATGAACTACAGGGAATTTGAAGGGGTAACAAAAAAACAAAAGGTGTGGTCTTATTTATGGTGAGCAGTAACTGGTACTGGGGAACACCCTTTTCAGATTAATTACTACCGCCTAAATTTTGGCTGCATCAAATGCACCGCAGCGGCTTATACTTATAGGCAGCGAAAAGAAATACCATCCTTTGTTGCAGTAATCGCACATCGCAGATTAGGCTAGTATAGTAACTAAAACTCCTAGTACTAACATTTGTCAATACATGTAGTTGTACTGCTAACTGTATACTCATGTTCGTGAATCTATGAATTCAATTATTGGTAATGTTCTACGTTTGGTCACAAGGGGATAGAACATCGTGAAACTAAGTCAGTAAGGAGAATGAGTTTGCAAGATGCCTTTCCGACTTAGAGCAGCTGTGATATCTTGACGATGCAAACAGCATTTAAGGGCCGGGCTAATGTTCGCCATGAACTGTCCAGTGCCTTCTATGATTCATTCACGGGGGAGTTAAGATTTAGCCTTGCGGTTACTGGTTCGATCTAATTTAGAGCTTTCATACATAAATCATTACCATAACAACCTTATCCCTAAACCTAACACAGACCTAACATAGCCATAACCTTAATCCTTCTCCTTACCTTCTTTTATGTTTATATTAAAAATCAAGGATTTAAAGTAGAAATAAACCACGGGTAATAATCGCTGCAGTTGTTTACCTTATGAAACTAATCAATTTCCTCAGCCCAGAATGCAATGCGTGATTGGGCACATTATTATATTGGATGGAGTGCAAGTCTGCAAAGTTCTGCATGTTAGCATCTATAGCATTAGGGTCAGAGGGTTCTGTTTAAACTTCCTAATTCCTGTCATAGAACTCATTCACTCTGTCTACGATAACACTTCCATTTTTGAAACCGTGAGTGGAGACTAGAATTTATTACTGTCAATCTCTGTTTGTCTATAACACAATGTTTCTCACCGCTTTGGCGAAATATGGTTCAGACGGCTGGAATATTGGAATGACTGGCAATGGAATATTGGAATGACTGGCAATGGAATATTGGAATGACTGGCAATGGAATATTGGAATGACTGGCAATGGAATATTGAAATGGCTGGAATATTGGAAAACACATGCCATTAAAATACATGTAAATAACAACAAATGAATCTGATATTATCAGAAACGTAGATAATCTGTGTGGTAATGGAAACATATCTGGGTTGGAATATAAATTATATACATTAATTAGTAATACTTCTAATAACAATCGGCATCCTAGATCTGGGGCTGCAGCCATTGCAGGTTGCAGGGGTAGAAATTAACTTTTGAACAAGGGAGTCTAACGGACTCCCTACCCTCAAAAAGAGGGAGTCCGCGGCAAAATGATAGAGTTCGCAGTCTGAAGTTCAAATTAAAGATATTAACAATAACGCATGTGCTTATTTTGAAGATTCATGAGGTTGCACGTCTGCCAAATTTTCTTTGGACATTTGCTGAAAAAATATGGTAATTCCATGAGGCCGTGCTCTGGAATGAACTAGTTAGTATGGCAGAATTTTCAGGGAGTCACACGGACTCCTGCATATGTCAAATCAGGGAGTCCGGCAGTAAATCAGGCAGTATTTGACTCCGGACTCCCGTTAATTTCGCACCCTGAGGTCGGGTACTGTAAAGATATCGCCACGTAGCCACAGAAAATCATAGCAGTGCATTCATTTGAAATTAAAACCTACCATTCTCACTTACTACTAGTACTCCGCCATTAAATCATTAGAGTAGTTTGGGGTTATATTGCCTTGTGTTTGATACATCCGCCAGTGACAGATTGTTAGTCGGGCCTATGCTTGGGAACATGCTATAGCCAGTATAGGGTACAATATGGGGGGCTACGGTCAACTCGGCCCACCAGCCAACTCGTCCGGTATACCGGAACGTACCCTGGTAACTATCTGATATGGTTATAGCTCTAGTACTATAGCCCGCGTACAGTGACTGCCGCAGGGCTATAGAACATTTTATGCTAGATTTCGCAACTGCATCTGTTACCAAAAGTTCCTACAAAAAATGGATCGCAAAACGCAAAATGATCGGGTTTTTTAATACTTATTTATCTACATGGACATCTCACCTATCTTTTTGAACACTTTCCACAACTTTACACCATGTATTTATCCATTTATTCCACAAAGTGCTAGCACTACTTGCGTTTCGTTTTGAAATGCCTTTGTGTACACGCGTGACGTCACCCGAAATGTAGAAAAAACACATGGGCAGGGCAGCTATGATTCAGCCTAGTACATTTCGGGTGACGTCACGCGTGTACACAAAAGCATTTCA